AAAAAAAGGGGGGGGGGGGGTTATTGACAGGTCAGGCTTTTTATAAGCAGGCGATTGGCCAGAAATGTGCACTCTGCACCAGGACAGCATAGTAACCACCATCAACAGCTTCACAAGCATGGTCAAACGTGTAGAAACAACTTTAACTTGTTCAGTCAGTGCAGGTAGGAGCATAAACAGCTAATATTAATGTAAATAATAAAGAAACTGAAACTGACTAAACAATAGGTTTGGTCAAACATGCAAAAATAAACTACAACAAACCAAATGGTTCAGAAAGTGAAATTAGGAATTATAGATATAACGTAAAATAAATAATAGAGCATGACATCACTTGGAGCACAAAGCATAGAATTAGACTGAATAGATCTGCCCTTGTGGATTGGACACGTTGTCAATGATGTGGAATATTTTTCTTCAACATTAATGTTTTAACAAAGTGAAAATAAACAGAGTATGACTAAAGTATTAAAGCTGTTGGGATCTGGTTGGGGTCAGCAGACTTACATTATCTTTCTCTGGGTTGCAAACCTTCACCCACAGAATGTGATCCAGCAACCAGTCGATAGGCTTGTCTTTGTGGAACATGAAGAAGAACTCGGCTATCATTGGAAGGTCTCTGGTCTTAAACATCTTACCTGGAAACCCCCCCCACACCAAAAAAAACAAAACAGAATATGCTAGAACCAAGCATCTGAGTAAGTATCTCTCTGCGATGCCGTGTGGAAAGACAAACACACCTATAAACCCAAGCTGGGAGAATTCCAGGTAGAGCCATTCGTTAGAAGACGCCTGTGTGGCGAATGCCTTCATGTCGCTATAGTAACCGTTCTTTGCAAAAACATCGTCTTCCAACTAGAAAACACACAAGAATAGTTAGAGACTTACTTCCACAACATTTTGTAGAGAAATGAAATTAGTGCTGGAATAGAACACAGTGTAGCATTAACTCATGAGTTGAAGAAATGCTGAGGGAAACATCACGCCACATTTGGAATTCTAAAAGTCCTGTAGCTTTAAGAAAATCTTGACTGTCACCTCTTCAACAAGATCACAATTCATCGGTCTGGGGTCAGAGGTCAGTGTGATGGACCTGTCAGGTAATTAATTGTTTAAGCTGCTTAATGTTAGTCACTCAGGGTCACATTTGTTTGCCTTCTGGTTTGCTTTGGCCATTTTTTCCCAGAGTAAATATTTGCAAAGCATTATTTTGCATCATTTCTTTTGTCATAACCCCAGAGCCAGGTTGTGACATCAACACACACCCTAATTTCAAATATTGATCGGCATAAGCCAGAAACTATTAACGTTTTTTTTCCTGTTTTTTTTTTTTCATGCTTTTGTCAAATGTTTCAAAGCTCTGCTTTGTGTGATGTACTTTAACTGAAACATTGTTTCTTTCTAACAATCTAAGGAATAAACATAGTTGAATATTAAATCTATATTGGTTCTGCTGCCAATATCATTTCGACATCTGGGTATGAGTGGAACTGTATAAATTAGAATATTATGAAAAAGTCCAATTATTTCAGGAACTTTAACACCAAGTGAAATTACATAGATTATGCGCAGATGGAAGCCTTTATTTCTATTAATCATGATGATTTACACTTAAAGTTAATAGAAACATGAAATTTAGAATCAACCACCAGTACAACT